CTACTCCTGAAACCAATCCTACATTGTATGTTAAGTAACTTGAGGAAAAAAAAAACCCCACCAAGGGGCACCTGGGTGGCTCAGTTGGTGGTGAAGCTTCGGACTTGGGCTCAGGTCATGATCTTATGGTTTGTGAGTTTGAGCCCCGCATCGGGCTGTCTGCTGTCAGCACAGAGCTCGCTTCAGATCCTCTGTCTCCCTCTCTCTCTCCCCCCAGCTGTCATGCGTGCTTTCTCTCTCTCAAGAATAAATAAACATTAAAAAAAAAAATCACCTTCCTAACTCAGGTTCAGGGAGGCAGTGGTAGGCAAGTTGGCTCAGAGACCATTTGTAACTAATTGCCGTGTTAGCGTTTCCAAGTAACTATGGAAACTGCTAAGCATTAACAGGTAGCTTTTTCTGGGCCCCTTGAATAGGTAGATAAGCCAGCTACCTGAGCAATGATCATATTTAATTTTTTCCCCACAAAATTATAAAAAGAACTGGTTTGCTTAAAAGTCTGTTTTAATAAGTGTGTAAAATATTGCCCTAATTTTTTTTTTTACATTCTTGTTAAGCTCTCCAAATACTGTCAAATGGGTTTCAGCCTACTTGAGAAGAATTATCATGAATTCTGAATAATGATAATTATTATAAATAGCTCCTCTTCATTGAGTGTTTGGTATATATTAGCCACTGTTCTGGGGGGAAGTTTTATTAAATAAGTGATTAAGGGTTGTTGGAAATATTACAGAGCTCTTGTAATTGAACAGGATTATGGGTATACGTCAACAATTTTATTACCAGAGATAGAATGAATCATGGCTAAGAAAAAAACAGCAAGTGATAAACAAGCCAATAAAATTACAAGATGAATTCACTGCGGAGAAAGAGTAATTATTTCAGTTATTTTTTTGTGCTTAATTAACATTTATTAAGTGTCCTCTGGGTCACAGGCACTGTTAGGTACTTTTACATCTGCTATTTTATTTAATTACGAGGAGTTCTTCACTTCCAGATAAGATTTCCCATGGGCTTCCTTTGACTAATGAGTTATTCTGAGCCGGTCCTGCTTGCACATTAAGTCACCTGGGGAGCCAGAAAACCACGGTGCTGGGGTTTCATCCTTAGAGAGTGTTTGATTGTACAGGGTTGGGACCCAGCAGCAGGGTTTAAAAAAAAACTTTCCTCCCTCTCCCATGAGCTCTGGTTACATCAGCCGGGGTGAGAACCACTGTATTACACTATTTGAGATGTTATTTCAACTGCAGAAAAATATTGACTTAAACTCTTGAGCAATGAGTTTGCTAGGCCAGGTGGAATAAGTAAACCACCTGTTTTCCTTTTTCTGTTTCCTATGAGCTGGGATGTGGGAAGTGTCAGAACAACTGCTGAATGAAGCAGGCTTCAAAGTGTTGCCCTAAATGTCTCCGACCCAGAATGTCCCAGTGCACTTAATGTTTCCCCGGGTTGTGCTCTGCGGCATTTATCACGCCAGTGACTTGCTTAAGGTTTGGGTTTTTTTTTTTTTTAAGGAAAAAATAAAAGACTATTTAGGGAACTTCTACACTAGAGGTTAATTCCTTTTAATGAAATACATACATATATACAGAGAACAGATCTGTGAATAAAAAAAATTAAAGAGGACACGGAGAATTGTGAGGAATTCTTTTGTGGAGGGATTATAGGTTGAAATGGCGTCTTTCAAAATCGTCTTTGATGTCATAGTAAAATGGTTTAACATCAAAACATTAAAAAAAACCAACAACGAAGGAATCAAGTGGTTTGGGGAGCTCAACTTTTCTTTAAACATTGTTATAGCCTGAGATCACATAATGGAGAGTTATCCTAAAAAAATGATCCATAATCGAAAACATACCCAGTCCCTAAAATATCCATGGTCATCTTCACAAATAGATTTGCTTCAATGGGAAATTTTAGTCCTGCCTAGAAAAACCCAGGGATCTTATGGTGTAATTGGTGGAGGGGGGAAAAAAAAAACTTCCATTAGTTCTGTCAACGTTAAACATTTTCCCTGAAAATAAATTAACATTTCTGGTAGAGCCTTCCCCTTAAGAACGTTGTGGCCTTACGGGGCACCTGGGTGGTTCAGTCGGTTGAGCGTCGGACTTCAGCTCAGGTCATGATCTCACCACTCATGAGTTCGAGCCCTGCGTGAGCCTGGAACCTCCTTCAGATTCTGTGCCTCCCTCTCTCTCTGCCCCCTAACCCACCCACATTCTGTCTCTGTCTGTCTCAAAAATAAATAAACATCAAAAAAAATTTAAAAAATAATCTTGTGGCCTTTTAAAAATATTGTGTTGCATTTGCTAAGACTTGGGCAAGTCAGTCACTCTTTTGGACCTGGGATTCTTCACTGGTATAACGAGGGGATCGTCAGTGTCCAGGTGGGGCTTCACTCAGCCCCCAGATTCGTCTGTAGAGCAGTGGGGGAAAGTGTCGAGGTGGCCCCTCGAGGGGTCTGTAGGTCTTCCAGCCTGGCCTCAGAGCTGCTGGGGGAGAGGGGGCATCTTGATGTGTGTTCATTTGCAGAAAGAGAAAATCAGTTCAGTCCTGTATGCATTTTTGAGGACCTACTATGCATCAGGCAGAATCCCAGGTGCTGGGACTAACAGGGTGACCAAACTCAGTGTTAGCCCTCAGGTAGCTTAAAATGACCTGAAGGAGGCAGAGACACCGGTAATTCCAGCATTTCTTCAGCTAGCTCAGGGGCTGGGTGGGAAAAGGGGGTCGGTGGGAAGACTGTATGTGTGAGCTCTGGATGGTTTTTTTATTTTTTTTTATTTTTAGAAACAAATGACAAATAAAAGACAGTTTCCTCTTTGAATCACTCTGTCCAGCCACTCCTGAGGGGAAAAGAAAGAGGAAGGAGGAGGGCCCACGTTGGGTGGTTGGGACTTCCTTCGTGCCCTGGAGTGGACCCAGGGGCTCCTGCATGCTGATGAAAGGGCTCTCAGGGCAGGAGGACCTGAGGTCTCAGAAAACCACAGAACCAGCCCTTAGGGGACAGAGGGACCTCAGGAGGTTACCTAGTCCAGGGAAGTTACCTTGGCAAGCCCACCTGCCTGCATATCCAGGTCTGTATATCCTACATCTTCTCTTCCTGTCTCTTGTCCTTGACCACGTGAACCAGCAAGGAACCAGCAAGTTAGCCTGCGGGCCTTTGCATATGCTGTGATTATTATTATTTTTTTTTAATTCTTTTTTTTTTTTTTTTTTTTTTTTTTTTTAAAGGGAGAGAAAAACACAGAGTGTGAACGGGGAGGGGGCGGAGAGAGGGAGAGACGCAGAATCCGAAGCAGGCCCCAGGCTCTCAGCTGTCAGTACAGAGCCCGTCGCTGGGCTCAAACTCACAGACTGAGAGGTCATGACCTGAGTCGAAGTACAGCGCTTAACCTACTGAGCCACCCAGGCACCTGCATGTGTGGTCAATTCTGCTGGGATCCCCTCCTATCTGGGCTGGGCAAAGTCTAACTTGTCTTTTTGTTTTCAGCTTAGATATCACCTCCTTGGGGAAGCCTTTCTTATACCCAACACTTCCCATCCCCTGCTGAGTTAAATACCCTTTTCTATGATTGCCCAACACTGTACCCACCACTGTTGTAACACTTTTTCATACTCCATTGTAATTGCTTGTCTGCCTGTAATTGCCCCACTAATCCATGAAAGCTCCTGGCTGGCTGGGAAGATTTAATTCCTGGAATTAACTCCTTGCCACATGGTCACATGCTTGGCCCATCATAGGTGCTCAGTAGCTAGTTCTTGAAAGAATGAGTATTCTCACTTTACAGCAGAGGCTACAGGAGCTCAGGGACATTCATTGCCTTGCTGAAAGTCACACAGCTTTGAGAGACTGAGAAGGGACTGGAGCCTCATAGTGTGAGTCTAAAGAGGAGACAAGGCCAGATCTGGTTTCTAGAGCCATAGTCCAGGTTCTCTCTGCTCTGAATCATGGAAGTGAAAAAAAGTCACCCTTGTTTGGAGACGACCACTTTCCTTCTGGGGACCTTTATGCTGTCTCCTGGATTTTGTCTTTAGGTGATGTAATGGTCAACTTACTCTTTGTGTTCTTTAAAAAAAGGGTTTTGTGAGAGTGAGTTAGTGCCCCTTTTTTTCCGATTTCTGGGATTTTCCCAAGGCCCTAAAAATTTTCCCAAGTGAACAACTTATTTCCATTTTCTATTTTGTAAATCTGGTCAAAAAAACTTGAAAGAAAGAGAAAAAAGTCCTTTATGTAACTGGAAGACATAGCGAGAGGAGTCAGGAGAACTGTAGATGAGGGGTGTGAGTGTGTGTGTGCATGTGAGGCCTGAAGGGCATGGGCGTATTGTACAAGGACAGAGCTTGTGAGTATGCTTATGTGGTTCTTAAATTAAATCTCCTCTTTCTTTGGCCACCAAGCAATTCTGTGATCATGATTTAAAAGGGGATTTTAGGGGCGCCTGGGTAGCTCGGTTGGGTGTCTGACTTTGGTTCAGGTCATGATCTCACAGTTCGTGGGTTTGAGCCCCGCATTGGGCTCTGTGCTGACAGCTCAGAGCCTGGAGCCTGCTTCGGATTCTGTGTCTCCCTCTCTTTCTGCCCCTCCAATGTTTGTGCTCTGTCTCTCAAAAATAAATTTAAAACAAGGGGGATTTTAAGGGTACCTTGCTGGCTCAGTCAGTGGAGCAGGCTACTCTTGATCTCAGGGGTCATGAGTTTGAGCCCTGCGTTGGGTGTAGAGGTTACTTACAAAAATAAAATTAAAAAATAAAGAAATAAAAGGGATTTTAAACCATACTCATGCCACAGGGACAAGAAACCTGTGTGTGTGTGTGGGGGGGGGGAGGTGGGGGGGACAAGAGGAGAGATGGCAGGAGAGCACAGGTGGCTGACTTGATCAGCCGGTAGTGTTCTCCTACCACAATTGGGCTCAGCCTCCAGACCTTTTGTGAGTAAAGTGAGGCCAGTGGATCAGCTTCCTGTAATTCATCACCCGCCGAAAAGCAAAGAGAAAACACTAAGGCAGCTAAAGATTTAATCAAAATAAAGGCCAGAGAAAGGCAGTTTGTATCTCTTCCGTGCAATAATGAGAATGTCTAGACGCGGCAGACCGTGCTCTGACCCGCACGCTAAACGCTGGCGACTGTGTTCCATGGGATATTGTTTGACTTTGGTTTTATGAAAACTCCCTTTGATTCATAAGTTTTTGCTGCTGTAAGAGATGCTGAGGGTGATGGGGTTGGTGTTCTATATAAGTTTGTTTTCTTTCCTCAGCCGTGAAGAAACCTAAAACAGAAAGTGATTCAGGCATAGAATGATTCAGACCAGTTCAATCTCAAGTTGAGTTGAGCATTTTGCTGGGACCCAAATACTCCTGTTGTAACTCAGACTTCCAGCATCCTTTAACTTGGAATTCTGAATTTGAAAAGGACAGCCTGGCCCCACCCTCTGTCCCTAGAACCACACAGTCTAGCCAAACTATCCCTTGGTCATAGGATTTTGGTTTGGGTCTTTGCTCTTTGCTGTGTAACCGTCAGCAAGTTACTTAACTTCTCTGAACCTCCATTTCTTTATTTGTAATACATACCACTATTTTGAACATTAAATGAGAAAAATTATTTGTGAGACATGCTCTGTAAACCCTGACGGTCTGAAGAAATGGAATTGAGAGGGGTTATTCTCTCACAGTGTCTAGTATGGGAAAGAATAATAGTGTCTAGGATTTACTGGGGGCTCACCTTGTGCTCAGGTCTCTTGTCGCGTGCTTAATCCTTGCTGTCACTCTGTTTTACAGGAGACGACACTGAGGCCTGGAATTTGAGCATCACGTTCAAGGTTACCAAGTTGGTAAGTAACAGCTGGATGTGACCGTGGCCATCTGCTTCCAAGCTTGTGCTCTTGACCACTTTGCTGTGAAGAAAAATTAAAGTGGATGGAAGTATTAGGCCAGGACATGGATTTCAGTTTAGTAGAAATAAGAACCTGCCGCTCTGTTGAAATTAGAATCCATGTGTTTTCTTTCGTTCACTCCACGAATATTTATTGAGACCCTACAAGGTTATCAGGTGAAATTATTAATTTATTTTTATTTATTTATTTAAAATTTTAATTTAAATAAGAATTTTGGAGACGGGGGGGGGTGGTGGCTCAGTGGGTGAAGTGTCCTGCTCTTGGTTTCGGCTCAGGTCATGATCTCACGATTTGTGGGACCGAGCCCCGTGTCAGGTTCTGTGCTGATAGTGTAGAGCCTGCTTGGGATTCACTCTCTCTCTGCCCCTCCCTTGCTCTCTCTCTCAAAATAGATAAATAAAGCTTAAAAAAATAATTTAAAAAAGAACTTTGGAGGAAAGAAGATGCTCTCAGCCTCTTGTCGTCAGTAACAGGAGTAATAGTTGACAGTTATTGAATGCTGTTGAATGGCAGACGCTGTGCCAAAAGCTTTGAATTATCTTGTTTAAATTTCAAAAGAAACTTGAGGATCAAAGAAGAGAAGTAACTTGCCCAAGTTCACTCCAGTAGCAAGGGTCGTCTTAGTCCATTTGGGCTCCTGTAGCAGAATACCACAGACTGGGGGGCATTAAACAACAGAAATTTAATTCTCCCACTTCTGGAGGCTGACAAGTCCAAGATCAAGGTGCCGGCAGATTCGGTGTCTGGTGAAGGCCCACTTTCATTCACAGATGGCCATTCTTTTGCTGTAAACTCACATGGCAGAAATGGTGAGGGAGCTCCCTGGGGTCTCTTTTATCAGGGCACTGATCCCATTCATGAGGGCTCCCTCCGCAGGACCTAATCACTCCTGAAGGCCCTGCCCCCTAACACTGTCCTTTTGGAGGTTAGGCTTCGACACATACATTTGGTGGGGACACAGACACCCATGGCAGGGGTGGAGCCAGTATTCGCATCCAAGTAGTCTGGCTGGAGAGCCAATGCACTTAACTGTTGGCAGGCCCCTCATGGAAAACCAGCTTGGGGCGCCTGGGTGGCTTAGTTGGTTAAATGTCCGGCTCTTGATTTCAGCTCAGGTCATAATCTCACGGTTTCATGAGTTCAAGCCCCTCGTGGGCTCTGAGCTGGTAGCTCAGAGCCTGCTTAAGATTCTCCCTCTTTCTCTGCCCCTACCCCGCTTGCACTCTCTTTGTCTCTCTCAAAATAGATAAAATAAACTTAAAAAAAAAAAAAGAAAGAAAGAAGAAAAGAAAGAAATGAGCGTGGGTACCCGCTATCCCCGCCAAGCACTCCCTTTTCTGCCTCTTCTGTCCCTTGTCTTCCTGGTGTCCTTACTACCCTGTGTTTTGCTGGCTGGCCCCTAGAGAGCTTTAGCTGTAGAATAGAGATCAGGTGGCAAGCTGTCGTGGAGTAGTCTCTCATGTACACCTGTAACTTTTATTTTAATTGGGGTATAACTTACATACTGTAAAATGTACAAATCTATTTTGTTAAAGATTTTTAAAAAAATGTTTATTTGTTTTGAGGGAGACAGGGCACGTGTGCATGTGCCAGCAGGGGAGGGGCAGAGAGAGAGGGAGAGAGAGAATCCCAAGCAGGCTCCATGCTGTCAGCACAGAGCCTGATGTAGGGCTTGATTTCAGGAATCGTGAGATCATAACCTGAGCTGAAATCAAGAGTTGGACGCTTAACCGACTGAGCCACCCAGGCACTTTAAGATTTTTAGGATTTTTAAAAAAGATTTTATCTTTAAGTAATCTCTATTTCCAACGTGGGGCTCAAATTCCCAACCCCAAGATCAAGAGTAGCATACGTTTTCAACTGACTGAGCCAGCCAAGTGCCCCAAGGTTTTATTTTATTTTTTTAAAGCTTATTTATTTTATTTTTGAGAGAGAGAGAGAGAGTGAGTGAGCGAGTGGGTGAGGTACCGAGAGAGATGGGGAGAGAGCCCTGCAGAGCCTGACATGGGACTCGAACCCACAAACTGTGAGATAATGACCTGAGCCAAAATCAAGGGTCAGAGGCTTAACCAACTGAGCTCTCCAGGAGCCCCTTCCCCAGAGATTTTATTTTTAAATAATCTCTACACACAGTGTGGGGCTCGAACTTAAAAACCCAACATAAAGAGTCATATGCTCTACCCACTGAGCCAGCCAGATGCCCCTTTATGAATTCTTAATGTCACCCCATCTTGTCCCCACCTAGACAGGGCATTCAAGATTTTTATCTCTCCAGGAAATTCTCTCATGCCCCTTCACAGTGAGTCCTGCCCCAGGGCTAACCACTGTTCTGACTTACAAAAGTCCTGGATACATCCTGTCATAGATTACTGCTTCACACTTATCCAGATCCAAATATACTTGCTCAACAAAAACAAAGTACAGATAAAAATAACACTTTAAATAGCGTGGGTGATCCTGTCATTCCACCCAACAGGCGTCTCTCTCTTGGAGTGAGTGTGAATGAGACACAGATCTGCTGTTCCTTCTGTCACTCTTTGTTCCTGTGGCTTTTTGGAGTATGAGCATCTATGCCATCAAGGGTGTGTCTTGTATTTATAGATTTTAATTATCCTACAACACAGCTCTGAAATCCAAGCTAGCTATTTCTTTCTGGTGCTCAACCCAAGACACCAAATCCAGTGCTGAAGGGACACAGCCTGTGTTGGACCTGTGTTGGGAGACGGTTTGTTAGTGTCCATTGTGAAGCCTTATTACGGGCTTTTCAAGGAGAATTTTGACTGCTTCCGGTTTTCATATCCGTGCTGACTTTGGAAGCTTACCCTTGCGTAAGCTGCCGCTGTAATGTGCACAGAACTCAAGCACGGGTAGGTGGTTATGTTACACTTGGAGACCTAGAACACTCTGCCAGCATGGGGGACTATGCTGATTTGTGTCTTTCGTGATATGAACACAGAGTGGACTAAAATGTAAGACTTGTACCTAGGGGAGCTCATCAGAAAGGGAAGTCCTTTAGTGTCAGAGATGAAGAGAGAAAATTAAGTCAATTGGATACGTGGGCTGAAGTCATGACAGCTTGTGGGGTTTTGTGCCCAGGAGCAGGCCATGGAATCTGGGTGTTAAGGTTGAAATGTCACAGTAGGTCTAGAAATGAGACTTGGGTCCATTGTGAAACTGAGCACTTGAGAGCCTTTTTAAAAAGTATTAATTGATTAATTAATGTGTGTAATTGTTACACTGTAGACTGTCCTCAAAAATAAGCACTAAACAATAATGAGATGCGAATACACAAGAATGGTAAGGAGGCATAGAAGAGGAACTAGGAGGATATTGCTTATGCCTAGACAGATGGGCTGGGGAAAGGCAGTATTCAAAGACATAATGACAAAAGAGACACGACTATTAGATATCCCTTCAGATCTTCTCCAGTCCTTAGGTTCCAAGAATTTGTGACCAAGTCACAAGAATCTGTGGCCCTCTTGCTGGTGGCAATGTTCAAAGAGAGATGGCTGAGGCTTGGTTTCCACTGTAGGTGTGCATTGATGTGTGATATGTGTGACCAAGGTCCCTCTGGGGGGGAGGGGTCGGGGTAAAAAAGAAGCCTTGCTTTGTAGCATTTGCTGATTTCTATGGTACAGATGCTTTCCATGTCCAGTTTCAAGCTACAAGCCTGATGTCCCTGAACCCAGAATCGGGAAGAAAGGTGTCCACTCAGCTCACCTGAGCTGGTGTGAGCTGGCTTCAGCACCCCAGTGGCTCTGATGTGCATTCTGTTTTTACACTGGGATTTCTGGGTTGTGCATCATGGGTGGGACTTACAGGAAGTAGTAATGTCATGTGTGATATCACAGGGGCAGGGAGAGCCAGGGGGACAAGACTAAAGCTCTGGTGCTCTTTCTTCCCTTGTATTTAAAAACACGAAACAACGTTTTGTGAGTATGGGTGGAGAAATGGGCATACTTACCACACAGTTGGGGACAGTGACAGTAAGGGCAATATGGCACTATCTGCGTTTTCTGAGTGCTTGGCCCTGCGATTTTACTTCCAAGATTTTATCCTATCTGTCGTATCTTTCCTATAGTCACCCATGGGGTATGTGAAGACATATGTAATGTACGCGCATTGCAGCGTTGTTTATAATAAAAGCAAGATCGAGGGGCGCCTGGGTGGCGCAGTCGGTTGGGCGTCCGACTTCAGCCAGGTCACAATCTCGCGGTCTGGGAGTTCGAGCCCCGCGTCGGGCTCTGGGCTGATGGCTCAGAGCCTGGAGCCTGTTTCCGATTCTGTGTCTCCCTCTCTCTCTGCCCCTCCCCCGTTCATGCTCTGTCTCTCTCTGTCCCAAAAATAAATAAAACGTTGAAAAAAAAAATTAAAAAAAAAAAAAAGCAAGATCGAGGAAGCAGCTGAAATGTATGTTGGCAGGGGATTGATTCAATCAGTTACAGTATGTTCTTACAGTGGGATACTTGGCCACTGTTTAAAATAGAAGGTCATGTGTGCTAAGAAGCTCTGATCTCCAGGATACATTCTCTCTTTTTTTTTTTTAAAGTTTATTTACTTATTTTGAGAGAGAGAGAGAGAGAGAATACGAGTGGGAGGGGCAGAGAGAGGGAGAGAGAGAATACTAAGCAGGCAGTGCAGAGCCCAATGTGGGACTTGATCCCACAAACCGTGAGATCATAACGTGGGCTACAGTCAAGAGTCGGAGGCTTAACCAACTAAACCACCCAGGCGCCCCTCCAGGATACAATCTTAAGTTAAAAAAAGAAAAGACAAATGCAGAAAAGTGTATGTGGTATGTTCCCACCATGTGTGGGGGGGAAAAAGTAGGAGATACAAGTAAGTCCACACACCTCATGTGCTTGATTACGCATCAATTATTACTGGCAGATACCAAGAAGGAGGTGATTGTGGGGAATACTGTTCACCTCTTGGGGAAGAGGCTACCGGATTGTGCTCTAGGGCAGATGGAAGATGTCTTGTTGTGTATCTTTTCTATTTTCTGAATTCTTTTTTTTTTTTAATTTTTAAAATGCTTTAAAAATTTTTTAGAGGGGGGGCAGAGAGAGAGAGAGAGAGAGAGAGAGAGAAGGAGAATCCTAATCCTAAACAGGCTCCACACTCAGGGTAGAGCCTGACTCAGGACTCGATCTCACAACTCTGAGATTATGACCTGAGCCAAAATCAAGAGTCAGACACTCAACCAGCAGAGCCACCCAGGTGCCTCTATTTTTTTTTTTTTTTTGAATGTTTAAGCATGAGCATATATTATTTTTTGTGTTAAAAAAACAAACTAGTTAACAAAAACTTCTCTTTGGGAGCTTTCAACATAAAAGCCCCTCTCATTTTTAGAAGAGATTAGCGGTCTTCTCGGGGTCGCTAATTCCCAGTGTTTACTGAGCATATGCCAAACGGCAGGTACTTCTGGTTTCAGGCTCAGTCCTCTCGAGCCGGTACGCCTGGGTCTCCCTGTTTGTAGGCTCTGCCTGGATCCTAGCAGTTGCCCAGTGAACTTGAACTTGTGATCATAGTCATAGTCGCATTTTCAGGAGAAGGGAATTGAAGTCTTTGTGCAAAGTCAACAGCACTCTTTCAAGTGTTTTTAGAGCAGAGGTGACCCAGCTGCTTCCGAGAAATCCAGGCTACCTGGAAGGGTTCTCAAGCCTTTCGCCCTCCTGCCACTCGACCCTAGCACCTCTCTTAAGACCACACGGAAGTTTTTGTCAGTGTTAATTTTTCCATCTGTAGGACTCTTTAAAGGCCCTGGAAACTTGGAGCTGTATTTGTGGACCAAATGAATCGCTGATGTGTTTAGAAACAGCAAAGACCCAGGAGAATTTGTTTGCGGTATCCTTTTCTGATTCATTAAGTATCTTCCCAACTTGTGTTATGTACACATTGTCAGAGGTCTGAGGGACACTGGCTTTGCTCCTTTACGAAGACTGGCCTTCAAGGCCTTTCTTAGCAAAACAGATGTTCCCAGAGGTTCTTTTATTGTTGCCAGTGTTCCCTGCAGCCATATTTCTAACCCAACCCATCATGCAGTGTTTTAGGGAACCAGACACGTGCTCTCTTCCCTCTCCCTTATCATTTGGTAACAAATGTGGTAAACAGGTTATTCATCTCCAGAGGGCTGTTGTTACAATGTTGTGCCATTTGATCAACAGTAATCCAAACAGGCAAAAGGGCTGGAGTGAAAACTGAACGTTGTGTAGCATCCAAATCACAAAAACTGACCTGAGAGTTATTTAAGAGAGTGACATCGTCTGTAACATTCAGATGAAATTCTTGCCAGTGAGGGCTGTTGGACATTGGCACTTTGCCGTCTCTCGAGATGCTGTGTTGTGGGCTTGTTCAGAGAGTGCCCTTAAGTGCTTTAAGTATCACCGCCCCGTGTGTCACGTGGGTTGTAGTGGGTTTCGTTTACTGGGAGCTGGATGTGTATCAGCCGTGTTCTCTTGACTCCCCAAATAGTAATTCTATCTCTGCTGCCTGAATGCAGATGCAGGGTACGTTTAAATGCTCTTTCTTGTCGGAGGCCTTTCCTGGCCCCCCCTTCCCCCCATGCTCCTCTTGTTCCATGTCGTACTTAATTAAAGCAATTATCTTACCGGCTTTAAATAATTGTAGCTGTTTGTAGCTGTCTCCACATCGCACTGAGTGCCAGGAAAGGTGGCATGGATCATCTCGCTTCCTCTGTGCATAGCCAGCGTGCAGCCTATGTCACAGCCCTTCGGATTTCATCAGTCAGGACTCTTTTGACCTCAAAGCAGGACCCTGACTTGAACCGGCTTCCCCAGAAAGGGGATTTATGTCCTTGAAAAGCCTAGGGATGGAAATTAACGCATGGAGGTTTCAACGGTGTTGCTAAGGCTTACACAGTTTTTCTGCAACCCTCAGCATCACCTACCGTTTCTTTCTGGATTGTGGTGGCAAGACGGCTCTCAAGAAGTTCTGGCAGAAGGGAATAAAAAGGTCACGTTTTCAACGGTTAAAGAAAAGTCCCCGAATTGAGTCTCTGTTTCTGATTGGTCTTATCTGGGCAACATGCCCCTCGGGAACCAATCCCTGTGGCTTAAGAGAATGCGATGCTCTGATTGGCCATCCTGGATCGAGTGCCCGCCCCCTGAAGGAGCTGAGGTTAGGGTCTGCACCCCCCCAGAGCACAGGGACTGAGGTGAGGGGAGGTGGGTGTTCCCCAGGAAAATCTGGGAACCGTGTGTGAATGGGGGCGGGGTGGGTAAGAGCAAGGATGTCCAATAGAGTAGGTTTTTAAGGGGTGTTTACTCAGTGAATGAATTAACAGATGAATGAGCAAACGGGAGCGTGCTGCTGATTCTGTGAGCTGGTTTATACAATACCCAGAGTGGGGTTTTAACAGATGGAGCCTTTGCAGAGAAGGAAGGATAAAAGAGAGCCTTGAAATCAAGTCCTGTAAGGGTGACAGTAAATTAGCTGAAATACTTAAGAAATAGGAGACATATGAGAGCTGTTTCCAGATGTGTGAAGGGCATTCCTAGAAATGGAACCTTTGCTGGGTCCTTGCTTTATGTCTAAGGCACTGGGGCTAGTTGCTTGGATCGGCGTCTCCCCTCTTTTATGTTCACTTTATTGTTACTGGACAGTCTATTTATGTTCACTATAGAAAATCTGAAAATTTACACAAAAGCGAAAAATAAATGTCCTCCCATAATCTTATCATCAAAAGCTAATTGTTATTAATATCTTGCATATATTCTGTCAACCTTTTCTCCCTCTATGTAGCTGCATTAAAAAAAAATTGTGAGCCACTGGGTGGTTCAGTCGGTTAAGCGTCTGACTTCAGCTCAGGTCATGATCTCGTGGTTCTTGAGTTCGAGCCTTGCCTGGGGCTCTGTGCTGACAGCTCAGAGCCTGAAGCCTGCTTCCAATTCTGTGCCCACCCCCCTGACCCTCCCCTGCTCACGCTCTATCACTCTCTCAAAAATAATAAAGATTAAAAAAATTCTTATTTAATCTTGATAATGGTTATTTGTCAGAGAAGGGATCTGTGGCTCAGACCTAGGCACTGGAGTCCTAGGGCCAGAATTGAGTCCCCAGGTGCCAGCCTCTCATTTCTGGGCGTTGGGTTTGCCAGCTTCATAATCAGCAGTCTGAGCACTAATAGGGCTTTACGACTGTTCTCTTCTGAGAATCCTGATTTCATCACTTTGTGCATCCACTCACTCCTTCACCCATGTGCTCAGGTGATCTTTAACTGAGTGCTTTCTGGGTGCTGGGGCTGTACCGGTGAACGAGCCAAGGCCCCTACCCTCCTGCAGCTGACCGTGTAGCTGAGCTCCACCTCATCAGTGAATGGTTAGGTCAGCAGCAGCTAGGGATGTGCGGGGACTGCCGATTGCTCTGGTCCCAGTCCCCAGCTTCTGTCAGGAAGCTACCAGCAAAGCAAAGAGGAAGCATCGCAGCCGGAAGGCCTTGTTGATATATGCCCTCCTCCCAAGCTCCCTTTCCTGAAGGGAATGGCAGTATGTTGAGGGGTGGGAGGCTCGGGGTACACATTACCTGTCCTCGCCCTCCCAGGCCTGGCTCTGCTGGGTGATCTGCGGTTTGGCCCACATTGTGTCCACGTGATGATCCTGTTTCCTGAACCTCAGACTAGAACTCATGATATGAAACAGTGTTAGCCAAAAGAAAGAGGCACATACATATTTCTGAAATGCAACCTTGGGTGTGTTTGCATGGCTGTCCTTGCCCAGGAAGGTAGGTATTAATATGCTCATTTGGCAGGGAAGGACGCTGACGTCCAGCTGGATCTGTGATTTGAGCTCAGGCCTTACTGATGGCTCTCAGCTCCCTCATCACGTTCCTCTGATCCAGATACATCTGGAGTGTAGGGTTTTAAAAGGTTCTGAGATTCCGGGTGATATTGTTAGTTTCATTCCATTCACCTATTTAAAAAAGTATTTATTGAGGGCCTGTGTCCAGAAACTCTCTTAAGCCTGGGATGCTGGCGGACCAAGATGAGTGAGGGCTCTTGCTCCCAGGAAACTTGAAATCTGAGTTAAATCTTCGGAAGAGTGATGATGTTTCTGCATAATCTCTTGCTCGGTGATTCATTCAGCCATGCATGAGGATGTGTCAGGGTGCTTTGAGTTGTAAGGGACAGAAAGCCTAGTTCAAACTGGATAATTGATGGGAGCAGTTGAGTGGTTCACATAACCAAAAGGTGAAGAAGTGGGATAGGTTTCGGGTACGCTTTGATCAGGGCTCTGGCTTCATTTCTTTGTGATCCTCTGGGCTCTGCCCTTGTGTCTGTTGGCTTTGTTCTCAGGTTGACTCCCTTCATAGTAGTGAGAGGGTTGCCAGCAGGGCTTCTGTATTGTTCCAACGCCAGCAGACCTCAGGAAAAATAGGTGTGCTCCAGGAAGTGCAGAGCAGAGCTATCTAACGTGGTGGTCTGGCTGCTGGTACTTCTCAGCCCACGTGTTTGTTTGATCACATCCACAGGAGGGAGAGCTGCCATCTCTCCCCAGGGCCATAGCACAAAATTTCTGAGCTCCCTTCTGGTTGAGTCATCATCTGAGGATGATCCATCTCAAACCATCATGGCGGCAGAGGAAATAGGATAACATTGATTGCCTTAGATCAGTCAGGCCCCATCCCTGGAACTGGGAATGAGGACCGAATGACTGAAGGATGCTGCTTGGTGGGAAGAAATGATGTTGAAGAGGCAACTACAGTCTCTTAAGGGGGGCAGTGTGTAGGATGTGGGCGCGTAGGAGGAACAGCAAGGTCCCTTCTCTTAAAGAAAAAAAAGAAAAAGAAAAGGCCTTTCTCTTAAAAAGCTCCACATTGTGGTGAGCACTCTGAGACTTTGGCAGTGATCAGAGGAAAGGCATTGACTACATTTTTTGAACGCTAGTCACTTTATACGTTTTCCTCAGTTAGTTCTTATACTGTCCCTGTCGAGTAGGTATTTCCATTTCACAGATGAGCAAACAAGTTCAGAGAGGTTAAGTTGCTTGCCAACAGCCACATGTCTAAGAGAGTGAGGTGTTTTGAGGCTGTGCATCCCACATTCCCTACTTCTCCTTCTTGTGACGGTTGCAGAGCAAATAGATCGTTAACAGGGACCCTACAAAGGTTTGGCTAATGACTCCTCTACAGTAAGCAGGGCCTTGGGAGTGGTTACCACTTTTCATTTCAGGCTTTTACTAGCGGAATTCTGCCTGCTTTTTTTTTTCTTTTCCTTTTCCTTAACTAACTCTAGATGGGAGGAAAACTCTCCCAGGTCCAGATAAGCAACCTATAATTGAAAGAGCTTCTGAGAAGAGCAGAACCATTGTCAACTCCAATGCATCAGAAGAGACGGTTGCGTTCAGATAGTTTTACAAAAATGATTTCTCTCTCCTTCTGACTTGGCTGCCTGAGGCTTCCACTTGGTTTTAAAGTAGTAGGGTAACTATTATGTAATCCTATACAATGCTTCTTTCCCCTGGGCTCGAGAGAACTCAGGTATTCAAAATACAGAATACATTTGTTTTGATGAAGAGTTTATGTAAAGCCAGCGTGATTCTTAAACCGTCCCCAAAACAAGGGCATATGAACTGGGTTTTTTGGTTTTCTCCAGACTCTGCAGAGAGAGAACATCCAGCAGAGCAGGAGATGGTTTACCATAACTCGTGTGTGCTGCTGGCAAAATGTCTGTGTTCCTTTTTTTTTTTTTTTTTCCAATTTACTTTTGAGACAGAGAGCGCGCTCGCGAGTGAGCAGGGGAGGGGCAGAGAGAAAAAGGGGGACAGATAATCTGAGGCGGGCTCTGTGCTGACAGCAGGGAGCTCGATGTGGGGCTCGAATTCACGAACCGTGGGATCATGACCTGAGCCAAAGTCATCCGGCTGCTCAACTGACTGAGCCACCCAGGTGCCCCAAAATGACCTGTTCTTACTGCTCCCTGAACCTACCATGAGTGTTGTGCACTTTGTTGCCCACTGAAAGAACGCTGGTCTGTTCACAGATCTCCTGACCTCACTTCCATCCCACTGGATATAGTTTCATCCTGAGGGAAATTAACAAAAATGGGGAAATCAAAATGGTGGTCAGTGCCAAGTTGACATATAAGACTTTCAGCTTAGCAGCTGTGCTTTTTGAGTTCTTGTGTCTGCTTTCCATTTTTTTTTTCAGGCTATTATGGATAATAATGGATTTATATTAGGTTTTCTACCATGTTTCAGGGCCTGGGGATAGATGAATGAAGCATAGTCTCCATTACATAGTCTTCAGTGGTCCTCCTCTGAACAGTCTGTCCATGCCAGTATATTTTTTTGCTTCTGATTTATGCTGGGCCTGGCAAACTTGTTAAACTGGACCTTAGAAAAAGTATGAAGTAAAAAGAGGAAACAGGAAAGATGTGAGGGTAGATGCATAGGCTTAGCTGTCAGGTGGGATTGCTGGGCTCCCCTTGTTGACTGTAGAGGGTGACTACCGTGGTTGTCACTAGGACTGGTATTTAGGGGCTCTTTGTTACACAGCATAACCTAACTCATCCTGACTGATGTGACCACCACATAGGATTCGTGGAACCTGGCCAGCTTGTATATGCACCTGTGTGAATGCACGCACATGCAAATATATGTAAGAATAGATATGAACATGGGTGCCTGTAGGACAGTGGTTCTCAAACTTGTCTGTACATTAGAATCACTTGGAGATCTTTTAAAATTCCAAAGCCCAGGGGTGGCTGAGTGGCTCAGTCGGTTAAGTGTCCAACTTTGGCTCAGGTCATGATCTCATGGTTTGTGAGTTTGAGCCCCACAACAGGCTCTGCACTGACAGCATGGAGTCTGCTTGGGATTCTGTCTGTCTCCCTCTCTCTCTGCCCCTCTCCCAGTTGCATGCTCTCTCTTTCTCTCAGTGACATGAGATGAGATGAGATGAGATGAGATGAGATGAGATAAGATAAGATTCCAAAGCCCTCAGGACATAGTCCAAATGAA